CGTTCACAAAGTTCACAATTCTGAGTGCTCTTCCCAATACCAAGACGTCCCCGGTTCTGAACGAATTGCGTAAATTAATAGCCATTTTTGGAGTACCACTGCGTATAATATCGGATGCAGGCAAAGCATTTTCATCCACCAAATTTAAACATTTTTGCGATGAACAAGGTATTCGCCAGTATCAAAACTATAGCTATGCCTAGCGCAAATGGTCAGGTGGAACGATACAATAGGACAATTGTAGACGATGCCGCAACAATGAGTGCTAATTTGGAGGAAGAAGATTGGGACAAAAACATATCTAAAATTCAGTAAGCAATCAATAGTACCTTCAATAAAACAATACAGACGACACCAAGTGAAGTTTTAGTTGGGTTTCAATTGAACTTGGGGGAAGACCGCTTCGTCACTCATGTCCACGAACCCCCAGCGATTGACGTAACCAAATTGAGGCAGGATGTTGCAAAAAGATTGGAGGAAAATCGTGAAAGGCAGAATAAAATTTTCAATATGAGACGAAAAACAGCTCTGGTTTACAAAATAGGAGATTTGGTGCTCGTAAAAGTAACTAATTTCAAAAATGATGGAAACAGTGAGAAATTAGTCGAAAAATATAAAGGGTCATTCAAGATAAAACAGAATTTAGGAAATGATAGATATAAAGTATGTGAAGAATTAGGGTCAGAAAGGTGCCAAAACGCAAACCGTTATGAGGGAGTCATCGGTGTGGAACATCTCAAACCGTTCACAATGAGACATGACAATTAGTGAGTGAAAATACAGTCATAATTTAGGGATTTAAACTAAATTCATGATTGGGAGTTTAAGTTGGGGACTCAACCAACCAGCAAGGATAACTCAGGAATTAAACTGAGTTACAAAAAAAAAACAGTCATAATTTAGGGATTAAACTAAATTCATGACTGGGAGTTGAAGTTGGGGATTAAACCAACAGACACATACAAAAGTTGGGGATTAAACCAACGGACATAAATAACTTAGGGAATAAACTAAGTTATGACACATACACACATATACAAAATACATTGTATATACAGGGTGTCCCTGGACTTCCTCTTTTCCTCTCGGGAATGTATAGATGGGGTCAAAATATCACCAGTACTTCATATAACTTTTTTTCCTAAAAGTATCAAATTTAGAAACATCAAAGTCAAAGCCTATTATGATAAGAATTCATTTTTTCAATATCTCCAATTTTTAGAAAAAGAATGATAACTTATGATATATTATTGTCGCTATTGGTCAAAATGTTATTACCTGTTACTGACGTAACATTGCATTGCGTTGTTGTCACTATAGTATCTTTTAGTATGGGATTCCAAATCCGGTTAAGTGTTACCGCCTCCTCTTTTCTGTTGTAGTTTTCCGTATGTTTATGGATTTCTATAACTTCCCGTATAAGCCAACTGTGGTATCCAGATCGGGGGCAAATAGTTTCACATCTTCAAACACTATAGTGTGATCTCCTTCACAAAGTGCGGTGATAGCCAATTTCTTCATTAGGCAATTTGAGAAGAAGGCAATCGATGTTTTCGATTTCAAACCAACCATTTGTACGTAATGTTTTACTCTAGTTAGTTTGGATGTTGACATCATTTTTCCGTTTGGAATCATTAGTTAGGTACTCTTATGATCTGTTATGCATGTATCATAAATTGCTGCAGTACATGCGTTGTGTATATATTTGCGCGCTCTCAAAAATATATGGTCTATGCGTGTCTTTGACTCTTTGTATTCTGGTATTTTTATTTATCATAGAGATGAAGTTAGAGATGAAGTTATATTCACTCATGTGGTTTAAGTAATCAGAAACTACGTCTATATCTTTGTTGATATCTAAATTCATATCCCCAATAATAATATGATTATCTGAATTATGATTCTTTGTTTCTTCTAGATATTCTTGGAGTTTGGTGACAAAGTCTTCTGCCTTTGAAGAAGGAGATCTATACAGTGCAGTATATTCAGCTCAGTTTGTATTGTTCTGCACTCAGCGATACTTATCACAATGTGATTATATTTAATATCATCTTTCACATACATGATAACTCCATCATTTCTGTTGAGTTCTCCTCCACTAGATCATCTGATAACCATCTAGATTGTATAGATCTCCACACTCAGAAATATTGAATGTTTCCGATAAAATAATCACGTCTAAATCGTTATTTAGTTGACTCAAAAATACTTTGAGTTCATATATATTTTTTCTAATACTCCTTATATTCTGATGGAATATTTTAAGGATTCTGTTACAGTCTATGTCAGTTATAATATTGTTGAGTTCTATAATATCATCAATTTCAAGAGTGTTTACTGGTTCATGATTACAATATCTCATAAGTTCTTCCATATTTCTGAACAAGTTATAGATAGAAAGAGTTGTGCAAAGATAGGAATTGGAAATATGTGTAACCTACTTTTTCACGAGACAGCCTACTAAATAACCTCTACTTAATAATATATACACATCCACATATACTTATAAATTATTCAACATTCATATATCCAAGTACAATATTAGTAAAGGTGGAAGTAACAACAAGTGAGAACTTAATCGCAAGTGCTGTCCTGTTATTTGTTACCTGAGCGCGTTCTGGGTTTATCTTGTATTATTTTCTGGACTAGTGTTTTAGTTGTCGTGGTCTTTGGTGTTCTTGGATCTTCTTTATATTCAGGAAAAACTTTTTTGTGGTATCAAATGTAGAAGTAGATGAGGCACTGCTGAGTTTGATGTCTTCGTTATCCTCCTTTTCCAGATCTTCAATACCATAAGTGGCCCCGTCAACATAGAGTTTGTTTCCTTTTATGTAGCAGTCTTTATATTTTCCTTCTTGCTTGACCAGAGAAAGATGTTTCCTCAGTAATTTACTTTCACTTCTTTGTTGATGGGTTAGATCTTGGGATATTGATATACTCTTTCCTTTCAATTTGTTGCAATTTTTCAGAATTTCTTTTTTTTTTCGGATATGAAACGAGTTCAATTTTTATTGGACAGTTTTCTGATTTTTCTAGGGGGTACACGTCTGCTATATCGTTATCCTTCAATTCTATACCTACAAGATCCTTGAGATCTCTACACAAATTTTCTGGTGTAATCTCTTCTTTTTTTTATTAAGTCCAAATATCAAAATATTCTTTTTATTTTGGGCTCTTTTGAGGTATTCTAATTCTTTTTTGAATATATCGTTTTCTTTTTGCAAATTTCCTACGGTATTCTTCAGCTTTTCAATTTTCAGAAGAAGCCTAGTTTCACTAGCTTCAATACAATTTTTTATTTCAGTACGATTTTTCAAGATTTCATTTTATAATTTTTCAATCGCTTTATCAAACTCGTGTCATTATTACTGAGCCCGAATAAATCAATGTGCGTGGCTACCTTTATGAGTTGTGTTTCTTATCGGTTTTTTGTTGTTTGCGTCTTTTTATTACTATTATTGTTTGAGATTTTCTGTTCTGAGTGTATTCAATTTTCTATTTGATTAAAGGTAACGTACGTTGTTTAGATGACAATGAATGTGGGATCACTCTGCCTCATTGAATAATCAATTTGAAAATTTTTGAGACTTTATTCTCTATTAAATTCTTGATATTGGTAGAGATATTTTACAGATATGTGCACAGCATAAAGCACACCATACACCATAAATGGTTATTCATGTATCACTTATTTGCACACAGCCTTTACTTTCTTTTCTTCTGTCAGTTTGTTCACTATGCGATTCAACACTTCATTCACTACATTTGGCATCGTAATAAACTATTCCCGACGGTAGGTACTCCTACGTCTGACCTGGTCGATTGTCTGTACTGTCTGTTACAGTGCATCAATAAAGCAAGTTCAATATAGGAAAGTATGTATTTTTCAGAAGATAACTCGACACTTTAGAAATATACAGTGCCGATTTAGTCATCCCCATCCTAACTTTTGAACGGAACAAGATGTCAAAATCTGACAAAATTATTGTGGAAAGAAATCATTTTTGGTAGTTTTTTATGAAAAGTCCATGTTATGACATCACTTTCAGCCGAGAAGCCGCTATCAACTTATTTTTTCGAATAGAAGGGGGAGTCTTGTGAACCTTCAGTTATTATAAAATGACCTTTACTGTTTTTTCAATTCAATTAACCGGTTGCCCTATATACTAAAAAATCCATCTCTATTTACTTTTGACTTTTTCTTGTTATTTATTGTACCGAGAGAAATATGTTTTTTTGTCTTGTATTTTTCAATTACTGAAATTATTACACATAACTATTATTATCATCCAACTGGTACTCATTCAAAAATTCTTCAAAAATTATTCAAAAATCATATTAAAATGATATGAATATGATCCAAATGGGAAAATTTTCAAAATATATTCTTTGAATATTCGATTGCTACTTGGGTGATCCAGAACAATCGTATGGATTGAATTTGACGATAAATTGTAATAATGAAAATCTAGTTACCTCCAGCGTTTCCATTATGGATGTAACTGGCAATTTGAGGACACATGCACTCTGAGTTAAAAACGAAGTTTGCTGGGAAATGGGGCGGCGGACAAATGTACTGGATGGGCATTTCATTCTCCGGCATGTCAACCATCGTTGATTGCTTTTCGACCATCATTGACATGTCTCCATCTATCAGAGCTGTGTGTTCATTAGTAATGTCTGGTGGAAGAGTTGAACAATCACATTCTGTTAGACAGGGATCATCTTCCGGTTTTGATTCACCCTGCGTGAGAAAAACGTTAAACTTTTATCAATTCTGTCATATACATATAATCATAAAGGGCTTTGTAAAGTCCTCCCGCTTCATCTTAAAAATGAATGATTCGTATATCTTTCAGTACAAATCCTATCTACCTCATTATACTCGTGACTTATATATTTTTGCCTTTCACCTCAATTGCACCTTGAATAATGTAGGCATCATTTATATCAGATGTTGACAGGTGTTGCAGCTTGCCGACACAACATTCCATCTCGTTCTTGGGAACCTTGCCGTCAGTCCATTTACAATGCAATCAAGAAACGGGATATATACTGACATACGATAAAAGACTTCGGGTAAGTCTGTACATTATATCGTTTTTTGTCGAGCCATTGTCTCAGGCATGTGAATTACTGTGCCCATTTCTTTCGCCAAATTAGCCGCCTGGTTATAAAGCTCCTTGAAGGTGTCAGATTTGTTGTCTCGTTTTTTCCGTATGCTATGTTTTACAGCTTCTTCAACCTGCGAAGTTTCCATCATATCATGTATTCTGCTCGGAGATTGGGAGCTGAAGATTGCTGCAGAATATAGTGCAGGAAAGCAAATGCATCACTTTCTCTACCTTCCTGTGAACTAGCAATGGCTTCGAGTACAGTGGGGAGTGCAGGAAGGTGTTCCATGAACGTCAACACGGCTTCGTGCCTTTCTATGCATCTTGTTTCGCACAGTTTTTTTCAAATACCTCTCGATCTCATTGTCTACTACTGTTCCTGGCGGAAATATTACACATAACTACAGTAATGATATTTGGTTGATGGAACGCGCTTCGATAAGTGTGTTGCGATTCCGGTGTTCAGGAACATTGCTTCAAGATTTCTATTTTAATTTGGAAATTTATTTCTGATTGAATTGAGAACAGAAATAGATTTTAAATGAGTTGACGGTACTGACAACTAAGGTCATTAGCCTCGATTTCAGGATAGGCTGTAGTCCTGTCAGTTAAATAATGCAGCAAAATGAATCCACCTTAAACAAAATGAATTCTAACGAGAAAAATATCTGGTTGATGGTGGATTCGAACTCATGATCTTTGGGTCACTGTATTGATACCTTTGAATACTTTTCCTACTAGACAAGTTGAGAAAAAAGTACTTCGATCTTTCAATTCTTATTGGGCAGATGTTATTGACGGACAACCAATACTTACTTTTGTGGTAACTGACACAGTAGTTGTATATAAAGTATCTTCGATATCTCCATTATTGCTGCTACTCAAAGTGAAGTGAGGAGTTGTAGGTCCCATAAGCTCAATTACAGTTTTGAGATCATTTTTGACTTGGTTCACTGATTTTGCACATTTGATTGAACATGTTTCAGTATCTGGAAGTAAATAGATATAATAGATCTGTTTAAATCTGTTTAAAATCTGTTTAAAATCTGTTTTTCCGTTCTGTATCTGTAGAGTAGGGAGGGTGAGTGTAAGCCCACGCACTTAGGCCACATGTGACCCATTGTACATCCTCCCAAGGAGTTGTCCTCCTAGGTCGTCGTCCATCCTGTCCTTTCCAGGAAGGTGGACAGGTCGCTGGGAGACATCTCCTTTATATCGGCAGGTGTAGGCCAAGACTCGCCGAACACACACTCTCTTATTGACGATAACTCCGGGCACTCACACAGGACATGCCTGACAGTCTCATCTTCCTGTTCACACATCCTGCATAGAGGTGTGTCCACTAGCCCCATATTATGTAGGTGTTTCCTTAGCTGACAGTGGCCAGTCAGAAATCCTACTGTAAGGCGTAGATTTTTCCTGGTCATCGCCAGATATTTCTTCGGCGCCAGCTTCCCAGGGTCGCCCAAGGTGATCCTGGCAAGATTACATCCTTTGATTTCATCCCATCTCTTTAAAGATTGAGCATGGGTGTAACATTTGACTAGTTCCGCAATTGTCGAAGTCATCAGGCCGTGGGTGCCACTTGGTCCTAAAATTCTTAGTCCAGCCGCTTCCTTGGCTAAAGAGTCGGCAATGCGATTACCTTTACTCCTTTCGTGCCCTTTAATCCACCTCAGGATAATGTTATTATCTACCGAGGCTTTGGCTAAATCTTGGTGGCACTCTAGTGCTAGCCCTGAAGTAACACGGTGTCTGTTCAAGGCTAATAGTGCTTGTCTGCTATCAGTGCAGATTGTTATGTTTTTGCCCGAAATTCTTTTCTTGGTTATTTCTTTTGTGGCGATTGAGATACCAGCCAGTTCTGTTTGGACCACGCTGGTATTTCTTCCCATTCCCCATTTGATCCTTAGGCTTAGTGATCTGGAGTACACTCCACATCCTGAACCTTCTTTGGTTTTTGAGCCATCTGTATAAATCCGTATTGCATTTGTAGCATCTGACTCTGTGTTCTGCTTAATTTGTATTTTGTAGGGTTTATTAAACACAAACCTGGGTTCAAGTTCTCCGGAAAGAGCCCAACCGATCTGTGAACATTCACATTTATGATTTAAACTGTTTTTCCGTTAATCAGCTGTCGCCTCCATACGAACGACAACTCTCAGAAGTTGATCGGTTACAATATCGATAAGTCTAGGGTCACCTGACAAAAAAATAAAAACATATAGTATACTGATATGATATCAATAATAATTCTATTCTTCATTTCAGTTAAGTTAGTTTTATTCTTCTAAGAAATATATGCTTATAATTGGATTCATTACCTTCTTTTTGAAGACAAAAAATAAGCACTACCCGTAAGAGTATCTATAGAAGAGAGACAAATCTCCAAGCTTGCTTCTATATTCTAGACTATAAAGGTTGTAAGTGATGTTCGCGTCTTCAATCAGGCGGATGGTTTTTTTCTGGATAGAATCTAGCAGCTTCATGGTATGCTTAGGGGCGGAGCTCCATACATGAGAACAATATTCTAAGGAATGTCTGATCTGAGCTTTATAAACCATTAAAAGTTGCTGAGGTGTGTACAGTTTTCTGGTTCGGAAAAGTGTTCCAAGTTTTTGAGAAGCAGCCTTTGCTGATTGTGCCAAGACATATTGGTGTCCATTTTAAACCCCAACAAAAGTTTCAAAGCAGAAAGCGGAATTGTCTGTCTTGACATTATCATATCCGGTTTGTAGACATTGATTTGATGGTTTGAAACGTATTGGAAAGGTTGAAAAGCTCTGAAAGTGGGCGCCTCACGATTGAAACGATCGACAGAAATTGTTACATTTCGAGGCCTGTTCTTCTTTGCTGTTGCGCAACCAAAACAATCCTTCTTTAGATCAAATCATCACGTGTGATGAAAAGTGGATCCTCTACGATAACAGGAGACATACAGGATAGTGGTTAGATACCAATGAGCCACCCAGGCAATTCCCAAAGGCTAAAATCCACAAAAAAAAAAACATGGTTACTGTATAGTGGTCAGCGGCTGGTGCGATTCATTATATCTTTATGCAATGCATTCGTCATTAAAAAAATATAACTGAGTGCAATTTGAAAATACGCCATTCAATTATTCCACTAATTCAATTATAGAATTTTTGTCAAAATTCCAACTAATTCACTGTGTTCAGCTGGTTTTGGTTTATTACTGTACAGAATTTTATCGAAATCATCAAAAAAGTTTGGAATTTTTGCAAAAGAAACGCACGATTACTTTTGTGACCCCCACCAAACGTATCTTCAAGTCATTGCATTTCTGTTAAATACATCTGTTAAAATCTTGTTTCCTTCTGTCGCCCTCCTACGACGATAACTCTCAAAAATCCAAACTTATGCGAACTAAGGACTAACGAGATCTTACCTTTTAATGTGTAATTATATCACTTGCGATAATTTTTAACGTGTTCCGTGACTATTTCGGAGTAATTACATCACGAACTTTGTGGCACACAGTGCCACTCCTTAGTCGTTATTTGCAGACATTTCTAAAGATAGTCCCATAAAAATAGTCAAGTTCAGTTCGGCCAGGTGATCTAGGTAGTCATCCATTCAATCTACTACCCCGTTCTATACAACGATTAGGGCAATTTTGATGTCTAGCATTATATACAGAACAACAATCTATCTGCAAATATGATTTTTGGTTTCTGCAATGGAAAGTTCATTTATTTCGTCCTAATTGAATAGAACTGGCGATACTTGATGAAAATCCATATAAAAAAACTAATCAATATAGTTTATTGTATGATTTTCACTATAAAAGGGTTTTACAAAAACCGCGACATGATTCAGATAGATATAGACACTAATTCAAAAGACGCTGAAAAGTCTTAAGAACATTGGTTGATGTGCTCAAGGATAGAAAAGTCGAAGGCTGAGTAGTACCGTATTATGCTATTGATATTCCTCTCTGGACAATGATAATGATAATGATTCTTGGACCCAATTATCACTTACCCTACAGTGTGGGAAGTGGTCATTGGTTCTACCAAATGTTAATTCATGATCGAATATTACCCCTAGGTCTTTGATCTCATTACATCTCAGCAGATCTGAATACGGGAATGTATAAACCTTTTTTTTCGACTATAACTCACTACTTTACATTTCTCCACATTGAGTTTCAATTTATTATTGCTACACCAAGCAACAAAAAATTCAAATTGAGATTGAAGATTCACACAATCACCTACTTCCTTAATAATAGAAAATAATTTCAAGTCATCCGCGAAGCATAACCGCTAAACTCGCTCACAAGCTAAACTTTCACATAAGTCATTAATAAACGATAAAAACAAAAGAGGACCTAGGTTGTAGCCCTGAGGCACATCAGATTTACAACCGTTATAGGACACGAATTGTTTTCTACATGTCAGATAGGATTGCATCAGCTGACAGGAAGTATTCGAAAAACCGAAACTCATCAATTTATTGAGCAAGATAACATGATCAATTTTATCAAATGCTTTAGAGAAATCCGTATATTTAACATCAACTTGGCCATTGTTATCTAATGCTTCGGAAATACATTGAGTAATAATGACTAGATTTGTAACATTAAAACGCTTAATAACAATTCCATGTTGATGTTGAGATAGTTGCCGTTGAACAGAAGCATATATGCGATTATATTAAATAATCTCAAAAATTTAAGAAAACATACATAAAATAGATATGGGTATGTAATTCTCTATATATGATTTTTCACCACTTTTGTGTACAGGACATACTTTAGCTAATTTCCAAATATCTGGAAATGTTCCAGATATCAGACATGAATTAAAAATTCTCGTTAACGGTTTTGCTAATGCCCCTGCACAATCCTTTAACAAAAATCATGGGATCATATCTGGGCATGATGTCAGTTTGCCCTTTAATTTTTTAGTTGCAGATATAACCTCATTTTCTTCAATGGAGAAAAATGAATATGAACATTATTATTCACTGTACCAACTTTGTTCAAAACTGAGCCAGATTTTGAATACACCTCACTGAAAAAATTACTGAAGGCATCAATAATATCTTGAGGATTCTCGAGTTTGTTTCCTAAGTAGGTTACTGATCCTGGTATTCTTGTGCTGTTATTCTTAGAGTGAACATATGACCAGAATCTGCTAGGATCTCTAGACAACATTGTTTGTATGTTAGCAAGATAGTTATCATATGCGGTTTTTATTTGGTTTTTAATCAAAGCACGCAAACGTTGAAATTCAAATCTATTCTCATCACGTCTAAATTTCCTGATTTTTTTTTAATTTAGCCTTCTGTTTAATGTTATTTATGATATCAGAATAAAACCATTTAGGATAAACATGACTAATATTTTTGAATTTGGGTATATGATCCTCAAAAATGCCATATAAAATTGAATATAGAATATCGACTAATTTATTAACGTTCTTGGACGTACCTAAATTATTCCAGTCAGTTTCCTCTATATCTCTATACAAATATTTCATGAAGTAGTGTTCAGTCAAGTTTGTTAAAATGTTAAGACTACCATGGAAGAAACGTAAGATGGAGACGAGAAACCACCTTTTTCAAAATGTAGAATGAAAAAAAAAATGGAGGAAATCGTCGATTTATAAATTTGATCTGAGTAACCTTGTGGCAGTCATTGTAGCCCTTTGTCGTTTCAATCTCTATGCACATACTTATTGATTACACTGGAAATACCTACAGTGGACATTACACGTCTTAGTGTCGATTATATTATGCTTTCAGATGGCACAAATACAACGATTCATACGTGTCCCTCTCTTCATTGAAGTATATTTAACGAAGGGAAGGCGCCAATGATGACCAATTTTTCATTGTGTCTATTTTTTGTTCATTATGATTTATTGTGATTTGAAAATACATTTATTTGACAGAACTAAAAATATGTTACCATGATGATACTATGGTGATTTTTCAAGTATTAATCAGTTACTGAAAGCTTCACAAATTACACTTCATTTTAAAAACTACCAATGAAAATACTAGAACGATTACGAAATTAATATAAAATGAAAAATGTTTATTTTTTTGTAAATACATAATTGAACTAATTCCTCAACTGAGGATTCTTATATCATAGACTGGAATAGACTGATTCAATATCATACTTATATGCCGATAATGAGAGTGCATGATCCTCAGATTACAGATGATGCTTTTTCTGAGGCACAATGAGTTATTCCCTTATCAATTACACCCAGTCTATAAAAGTTACACTTTGATACAGTAGGATTTTTATATAGTTGGATATAGACATTACGTCAAAATATCGTATTGGGTCTTTGATAGGAGTGGACTTTTAAGTAAAATGAGCAATTACCTGACAGAGTGGAGTTTTCCACAGCTGCATTCACACCTCTACTGTTTTGCTGCTTCCTGCTCCTATCTGATGGCATAATCTCCTGATATAAACTTCCTATCGGCTTTTTATACTACAAACACGCCCAGTTCTACTAAAAAATATAAAAATATATAAATACACTGTCAGGCGCGACGATGAATATAAAAGAATGTCAAACTGACACATCCAATCAATCAACTTCGAAATTTGTCGAACATTGAATATTTGTCTATAAAATGGAGAGAGAAGCGAAAAGGCTCATAAAGCGCTGTAAACTGAACACTAAGAACATGATTCAGCCTCCGTTACTAGCGGAACTAATCGCCACCCAACTGACTGAGGAGTTGATGGACAAATTCAAGGTCAATCAAATGAAACGGCAGCAGTTGCGGGACTTTCAAACTGAGTTTACGAAAAATACGAAACTTAAGGAGTTCAAGCACCGCTTGGTGCCTCTGTATCCAGGAGTACCCCATTTCGACGATTCCCACAAAAAAATTCGTGGATTTGCCAACCTGGGCCCTACCACGGAGATGTCATTATTTCAGGAATCGGCTATCAAAAAAAGGATATGTGCGAGAGGACTCGAAACGAAGTATACGTCTTCCATCGATAGAATAATGTCAGAAACTCGTGATGAATTTATCAGGATAACTCATGACGCCGGGGTGAGTAACTTAGTTAGCTTCATTACGTTTTTTCGGAATGATTTCAGTCAGTTTATATTTTGGTTTGAATCCAGGAAATAAAAATAGGAACTTGTGATGCACTATTTGGAGTTCTATTCCAATACTAAACCGTTATTTTTTACACCTCGACACGTGTTTCAATCACCAAGTCATCATCTTCAAGAGGAAATTGAAGTTTAAGAAAGGAAGGATGATTACTTGGTGATTGAAACACGTGTCGAGGTGTTAAAAATAACGGTTTGGTGTTGGGATAGAACTCCAGTAATATTCAATAATAGGGGTGAAATAAAATTTGTAAAACTTGTGAATTTTTTTCAGCGTTAATATTTTCCTAATTCAATGTATTTTTAATCTTGTACAATAATTACAAAAATGGTTTCCAAGAGAAAATTGCCTTGACTTTTCATTCGTAAAACAACATTCAAAGCAAATATAGCGTGTGTAACTTCAACAACGACCATCCTTCTATCTCTTTCTTGAACTTCAGGAATTGTTTTTTATTAGATACGAAAGTTTCGAAAGCTGTATTTGCTTGAAAAGAATGATGACCGCTTTTGAGCAAATTATAGCTCAATAGGATAAAAAATTATCTAGATATTGGGAAAAAATATTAGGTGACTTTTATATTGAAAAATCATTCGAGGAAGTAGATTTAAGAATATTCATATTATCCAAATCAGTGATAATATACAAAATGTATCACTTCAACTCCGACCACCTCTGTAACCAGGGGAGTAGTTGTTTTCTGATAGGTGTCAGTCCATTAATCTACAGTGAAGGGAGTTGAGACTTGCCTGAACGAATTGTTCCTCTAGATGATTTGATTTATAGCCAGTCTTTCCTTATACAAGGAATTGGGCAAATTTCGGATATGTGGATGATTACCTCGTTCACAGGTAGATGGGGAGATGACAAATCTGTTGTTTGTTGTCCGCTTCAGCCTAGTTTGCCAGAAATGATGATCGGAAGGAATTCGATTTTCAATTATCGGAAATAATCGACTTTATGTTGATGATAGACACTACCTTGCACTGACGAGTCGCCAAACAGCCCGAAACCGGCCTGCAAGTGTTTTCCAAAAATTGAAAATGTATTGCGGCAGTTGTATCGCCAACAGCATATGCAGGAATAACTTCAGTGAAGAATTCTGCACCGACACCTGTCGGATATAATCCAACGCCCTTCGTGGTATTAGCCAGTGGAGTAATTGTTTTCTGATAGGTGTCAGTCCATTAACCTACAGTGTAGGGAGTTGAGACTAGCCTGAACGAATTGTTTCTTCATATGATTTGAAAGACAACTAGTTGAAAATCCGTCAGAAGACTCATCAGCCGGCTCTGTCAATCCCATAGATGACATCTTCGTAAGGGGAGATATTGATATTTCTTAGTTAGGATTGTCCTTTAAGGATAGTTGAGTCCACCAAGTCATTTGTGGTTCAGCCCAGTACCACTGACCTATATCCGGTGGAAATAGCGATGTCTGGATTTGAATCATGAATGCGTTGTGTTTCAAAAGTGTCCAAATCATCGGATTATCAGGCGAAAATTTAAATAATTACGGAAAATTTGCTTCGTAGTCCAAGAGAAATTCGAATCGTATTTCCATGCAATGGATAAACCCTTGAAAAAAATTGGATTATGTGATGGAATTGGACGATATTTGATGAACAACCATGACGCATTCAAGTAACACTTTGTGAAATTCTCACTTGACAGTTTACATGCATCAAACTCGTGTTGTGGTTTTATGAAGTGTCCAGTGAAAATCTCACAATGAAGTGTTAGGCTTGAAACTGGTTTAGTAAATCACTAAGTAAAAAAACTGCGTCATTCAAAAAATCATAATAAACCATAATTGATTATTCCAATAGAGTTGTATTATTTTAATTTCTTTTCCTTTCACATTACATGATATGCTTTTATACTGAAATTGAGAAACGACATACATAGGCAAATAAAATGGGAAGGTACCCACCGAAAAATTAGTTTGTTATGATAATTTGATTCACCCCATATAATGTCGAAAAAAAGTGAATGAATTTTATTGAATTCCGGCTTTGTGCTACGGTATTTCTCATTCTTCAAAATGGATTCAGTAGGTATGCCATAAAGAGTAAGTTAACACCGATGTCAATTTCATTTCTCAAAAAAAGAATAGAAATAGAAAAAGCAAGTAAATTTATGTCAATATATTTTCCTTTCCCTATGATTCCGTTGTTCGAATCTGTAAGCGTTTGTCATGATAAATTCTTTGAGAGTGGCGTTGTTGCATCATTTCAGTAGCAAGACGCAGGCAAATTAGTATCATATTGAGATTCAAAATTGTAGAAAATATCAATCTACAAAATATTTCTTCAATCACAACGTTAATTCAATAAATAGGTCATTCCTTTTGGGGGTGGCGATGATTCTACTTCAAAATTTTTAATACGGTATCTAAATGCTTTAGAAGGAGTTCACATAGGAAGTGCACAACTTGTGTTTCACGCATAGTTCTATTTTGATATCCACTTTATTTGTCTACCTCGAATTTCATACTGTGAATGTTCACAAGTCATATGCAGTCCAGAAAAATGTGGAGAGGAGGTAGATCTAGAAGGATCTCCATGGCCGCTGACGGTGTGGTACTGATGGTACCACTGATGGCCAGACAAGCCTGTATGTGTAAGCCCGAGAACTTCGCCTGAGCCATTTTCTGTGGAGGCTTCGGCCACCAGGCAATTGCACCATAAGTGATCATTGGTCTGACAATCATCACATAAATCTAATGGATTTATTTGGGACCTGAACCCCAAGTTTCACCACAAATCCTTCGACATGTCCATAGGGACAGTCTGGCTTTGTGTAAAACTTTTTCCAAGTGAGCATTCTAGGTTAATTTTTTATCAAGGATAATGCCAAGATATTTGAACTCCGTTCCAAATGAAATTATCTCACAATTGAGGGAAAGTGGTGTTAGATCGTCCAATTTTCTCCTCCTGGTAAAGGGGCATATCACAGTTTTGCCAAGATGACAAGGTCATCTGCATAAGCCTGCAGATCTACTTTTCTTCTGTCAAGGGAATCAAGCAGACTATCTACCAGGAGCGATTGCAGCAGGGGAGATAGTACCCCACCTTGAGAGCACCCTCTGGTGACCCTCAACCTAATAGAGTCGTAGTTGCAGTTCTGTTTACCAACATGGCATGGATCCAGCCAGTTATGGTCGATTCTATACTTTTCCTAGCCAGAGATTATCCTATAGATTTGGGCAGTGCATTGTCAAATGCTCCTTCAATATCGAGTATTATAGCAACCGCAATCTCCTTGTTGTTAAGGGATTGGGAAATTTTCTCTACAAAGTTGTTTAATGCTTAATCTGTCGATTTGCCGATTTGACAAGAATACTTGTGGTTATTCAGGGGGGATGCATATAATGCCACCCTCCTAATTTGTCCGTCCTATATCCTCTCACGTCCTTTCAACAGAAAGGATTTAAGGCTGATTGGTGTGAGTCTTTCCGACCCAGTTCTGGTATATATACCACCCTTGCTGCCAACCAACTTGGCTGTATATAGTTCCATGCCATATAGTTCCAATTTTATATTACAGTACCTTTTAATATATTTCAACTGTTATATTATTTCCTCAGTTTATTATATGTGCAAAAGTTAGATTGTATGTATCTCAAAATTAATGATATTATTGTTATTTATACTCTCTCATATGTTTTGAACTACATTATATTAAATTCATTGCAGGTCAATTTAAAAACGAAACCACTAGATCTTTGCAGTGAACGATTTCGGCCAGCACCTTACAAGTATATGGGCAAAACGGAAAACTACCCAGTATACCTCTGGCTTCGCAAAGAATTTCAAAATAAATACATGTTGCACCAACCGCTTGTTCACCGAGTTGTTCAAGAATGCTGTATGCTACCAGACACATTGTTCAATATAGGGGTTTTGAGAAACAAACCTTACGATATTAAAGAACTAGATGACACTTTCGGACACTTTGTTGCAGACGCCGAAAATATTCTTCGAAAATTCTACTACAGAGTTTCTGAGATGGTTGAAGAAGATGATACAAAGTTGGAACCGTTAGCTTATCAGCGACTATTGCGAGTGTGTACTGGTCTACTTTCAGTGTATATGGGCAAGGCAATAGAGCATACCATCGACCACATCGTCGAAGTGACTGGGTCAGAAACACTGGTGCCTTACTTGAAATTGTCTCTAAAATACAGCGAAAACTTAGTTCTTCATCCCAACGAACAAGACGTTAATTTGATTTACTCATTGTTCATAATAAATCTCATTGACATCGGACAGAAATTCAACGTTCTGGAAATGCTTCGGATCAAAGATTATCCTGAAACATTCATTCACGCCAATATAACTGACGAATATGTTTCTGAATCACTAGAAAAACTGATGGAAAATATAATGACGATGTTTATCCCTGTAGAGGAGTACCTCAGCAACTTGGACGAAGATTTTAAAGAGATATATCAAACCATCAGTCTCACTAGCTGTGGACCTAGTGCTTTCGATAATGGCTGCCTTCAAATAGAGCACTATCAGGATTACATCAGCAAGGCTAGCTCTATGTTGAGCAGTGAGTATTTTGCTATCGGACAGCTAATTTTGTCGGAATATGTACTTTCCATGAAGGAATCGCTGTCGGTTATCATAGAGGAAATATTCACTAAGTTGTGCGATATTCATATTCAGGAGAATGAGAATATTTGCGAATGTTTTGAGAAAGTTAAGGAGGAAGCTATGCATAAGCCTGCCACTAGCGAGGAACTGATTGAGCAGGGTGAGTTCATGTTATATAAAAAAACAACTTACCTGAAATTCGAAGTTTAATGAAATGAAACTATAGAATACCTTGATAATACGAAAGTAGAATAAAATTGATTTTGAGTTTAGGAGAAATAAGAGTGATCTTCCTTCTTGACCATTCGGTCGTAATTTATATTCGAGACATTTTTCAATTATTTTTCATTTTTGCTGAAACAGAAATGAAAAACTCAGAATAATTCTAATTTATCATTCCAATATATACAAGGTGTTATGTAAGTACGTGGCCAAATTCAAAGGGGCGATTCTTTTGAGTAATTCTAATAGTCTGGTTCACATGTACTTGATTTAGCTCTTTTTGGTGAAATTTCAGCCCTGTCCAAAAATTATGATCAAGGTGTCATTCGATTCGTATTTTTGCCTAAAAAGTTTAAGGAAAGGTCCGAAAACGCGCCGATGAAAATTACAAAAGTTATAAACAATTGAGTGAAAAAAATGGGGCTTTAGTTTTTTCTTAATATCTCGGAAAATTTTCAAAATTTTGGAAATTTGAAGAAACATTTGAAAAGATCAATGAATTTGCGTAAAAAAAGTNCAAATTCATTGATCTTTTCAAATCTTTTTTCAAATTTCCAAAATTTTGAAAATTTTTCGAGATATTAAGAAAAAACTAACGCCCCATTTTTTTTCGCTTAATTGTTTATAACTTTTGTAATTTTTATCGGCGCGTTTTCAGACCTTTCCTTAAACTTTCTACGCAAAAATACGAATCAAATGACACCTTGGTCGTAATTTTTGGACAGGACTGAAAAATGTTACAAAAAAAGTACATGTGAACTAGACTATAAGGCGAAAACTTCATCTGTTGATAAAATCTATTTTACCGTTAATCAGCTGTCATTCCCCTACGAACGACATATCTCAAAAGTCGAAACTTGTCCGAGCTAAGGACTAACGAGGTCAATCCTTTCAACGTGAGATCCTAACACGGGTTGGACGATAGGAAGTGAAAATCGATCGTCCGGCCTTGCGGTTCAAACTACCGGTTCGCACAGCGGATTATTGAGTAAGAAGAGCAAACCACCCACCCACGTCAACCCACCAGGCTACCGTCCCACCAAACATAGATCTAGTAATGCTTTGTTTTTGAGCTACAGATACAAACTGAATAAAAAAAAATTCATGTATATATAAATGTTTGTGTCTGAAAGTTACTTCTTTGCATGATCTACACATCTTCGTGACGAGTTTATTTTAAAGATAACTGCTTTCTTCCTTTTTTTGGAAGATTCACATATTTTTTTGTATAGAGATTGAGAAGTAGAAAGCTAAAACCTTTTGAATTGAAAAGCATGTTATAGCATGTAGAAATAAGGAATATAGAGAGGTGAGCTGCATGGGAATTGAAACAAGTGTTTCATGCAGAAACAATGAAAAATGTTTGTGGTATCAGAATCCCGAAAGTAATAGAGCGGAAAAAAATTAGAACTCAGGATATTTGAGAATCTACATAGTTATACAGAGTGTTTTGACTAATGGATGATGGAACATTGGAAAATATGTTGAAGATGATATTGAATGTATATAGAATGCTCAAAAAGTGAAGGATGTCAACTGAAAAGGACTCAAAGATCATAAAAAATATAAGAAAATCTTATAGTTATAGGCAGAAGATAATAAATATATGAGGAATTTTAAGTGTTTGTGGACTATAGAGTGTTTGAAAACCTGGTAAGTATAAAAATATCAAATGATGACTTTTGAAAAACATGCTATACTAATAGAAAAAAACAGCTTGTTGGACAATGATAATTAGTTTAGAGAAAAAAATTATGAGACATTTTTGAACTGAGGGTGTCCAGAATCTAGTTACAAAATGGTCAATACTGAGGAAATTGAGAGAAATATTGTGGATACACAATGCATGGGAATTCAGGAAAGTATACACAGTTATAACGAAAACCCATAGAAAACTCATTATATCAGGAAGAAAACAATGAGTGCTTATAGAGTGTTTGAAAAAAGATTGGATGCAGATGAAACTGAAAAAAAAATTAATTTATTAAAAATTGAGAATCTAGAGAATATAGAGTACTTCAGTTTGTTATCTATGAATTTTGAAATTGTCAGAAAATAATGAATATCATCATAGTCTGTTGAATTATTTGCAAAGTAATTTTGGGTATTTGATTAGGTTTTACACCAAAAGATAAAAAATGTAAATTTCCATGAACTGAGGGTGCTTTAGAATCTAAAGAGTTAACAGATTGTTTCAACTACACAATGTTGGAAAATTAAAAATTCCGTTGAATTCACCATTTTATAATGAATATACAACACAGAGAAACTCGTATAGGAATCTTTCTTAAGTATAAATATTTAATTTTTTCAATTGAGTTTTTCAATTTTTAGTCAAAATTTATGAATACGGCTAGTTACTGACTTGTTAGGCTTTTAAGTGGTTGGCTTATATTACGCAATAACTTTTCGAGGTGAACTCTACAATTTGCCCTTTATTACCCTTCAGCAGATTCTCTATTGATTCAGCTTTGATTTTTTCAGATTGCGAAAGGTTATAAATCCAAAACAGTAGAAAGTATTGAGTCATCCACAAAAAACATGTCATTCAAAGAACAAATATGTTATTTGATATTCAAAATCCAAACTTTGTATTTAAGAATTTTTTTGCTAAATTCAAAACATTTGAAGAAATCAACACTTATACATTTCAACAAATTATATACTGCCCTTGTTCAACTACGAATAAACTAGATTGAAAAAGGAGCATCATAACATCACCTGAATCTTACAATGGCTTACCTGAGTCACTCAAAACAATCCTGTTTTCAAAGGAGAATGTAAGAAATTGCTACTCGCTTGTGGGATAATTTGAAGATCGTATCCACGTTCCACTTCTTTCTTGTTTATTAGTTTTGATCGTATCCATGTTCCACTTCTTTCTTGTTTATTAGTTTTTAATTTTTCTCTTTTATTTAGATGTCTCTTATTCTGATGATGTCATCGTTACGGTTCTGACATATTGCTATTGCTTTAGTATAGTTTAAGATGTATTAAAAAATTCAATATTTGTTAATGCAAATCCTGGGAAAAATAATTGATTTGATTCAAATATGTGTGTACTAATGAATACTTAATAATCATGTATACAATAATAAAGACTGAATTATTCAGTTTGTGAATTTAACCAAGCGTGATAGAAAATTTGATTGCATACATGTGTACTAAAACTCACTATGAGATATTATTCTGCAGGTAAATATATGATATGGATCAGAACTGTTCACCTCCAAAATCTCCGTGAAAGGATCCAACAAATGCTGTACGATTTAACTCGCCTTATAGAATATGGCACGGTGCTACAAGATCATATGGATTTGAATACAAAAACTGTCCATTGGTTAACGGATATTGATGCTGCTCTTGATTACAATGCTAGTATGTACGAACAACTCAAGTTTGAGTATGAAGAAAAATTGCAGAAAACCATCGCCCATGTTAATGGATCAATCGTCATTTTGGTTCCTTTGTTGGGTGTTTTGGATGACATGGATGATTTCTCTAGGTTCGTAGAGGACGTTGAATGAAACACGAGTCTCCCGAAGCGCGTTTTGCTAACCAAGTTAGCATCTTCAGTAGATGATATATATGGTATTTCATTCTGGTGTACCAAAAATTATATTCTATGATTCCAATATGAATACTATCAAATTCAACACCATTATATGTTATACAGAGTGGGGCACCGAAAACGAAACAGATCGAATGAATAGTTGATTTTTACCGATCCGAAGTCCTCCTCCACCACTTGACCTTGAATGATGTCATATGAACTTGATGAGGTAACCTGTAGATGACTGTGGTTGTGACCTTGGATGACCTTGAACTACGCCATATGACCTTTGATGAGCCAGGTTGAATATCTTTTGATGACCTTGACCTGACTCAACTTTTAATATCATCCTCATGTCTCCAATGTAAAGCTCAAGGTCATGTATTAAGGAATTGAACAAGGTCATACGACGCACACATAGCTCAAGGTTAAGCTTAATCATTCAACGCCAAGAATTCACATTGGAGAAATGAGGATGATATTCAAAGTTGAGTCTTGAATTTGAGACCTTGAATGACCCTGATGATAATCAAGGCCAATTAACAGTGTGACCTCGAACGACCTTCAACATGACTCATCAGGGTAATACGATGTAGTTCAAGATCATTCAAGGTCACAACCACAGCCATCTGGAGAATAACTCATCTAGGTCATGTGACGTCATTAAGGTCAAGTGTTGGGGGAAGGATTTCGGTTCGGTATAAATCAATTAGTAATAATAGTAATAATGACTTTATTCATAAAAAAAAATAATTATAATCATACAAACAAATAATAGCTATGTTGAATAAAGTAAAATGGCAATAAGTGCAGAAGCACTTGTTTCGCCTAAAAAAGAAAACTTAACACATACACACACAAATACATACAGACACTTTTTTTAAAATAATGTTAGGGCTATAAAATTACTCTAATATCTTTCAAAACACATGTTTTCTGAAAGGAAACTACAAAAACACGTCGATTTGTAATCCAAGGGGGACATATTTCTATCATAACCTCAACTTTCATACCTCTCCCCCCACCCTTTGGTCACTATCACCAAAATAATTTGAATAGGGAAAGTAGTAAGTGTGACACGTCATTAGGAGGTGATTTCATGAGGAATTCGGCCATGTCAATTTTCGTTACCTATCTTTATATTTTGGCCTTCTTTTGCGGAAAAAAACCATTCCGTATTCCTAATCATGATACTTCATTTGCAAGCTGATTTGACATAAATTCGGTGACAATGCATTAAGGAATGTTTCTAAGAGAGAAAAAGAATGGCGGCTTCACAATGGCGGACAACATTTGCAATTATGGTTCATTTCGATTCAAAATTAGCATATGGGGGTTTTACAAGTTTCCAGTATGACGAAAAAAAAAAATTAAATTCATAAAAAAGCTCTTATACAAATACGCTAAAAAGAAAATTATATATATTTTGTTGATGCGTGACGTAGATTATTCTACGCGTAAGAGAATCAAAATATTTTATTCAATTCGTTTTATTCATACTGAAAATCTGTACCCAAAATCCAATTTTCAATCGAATCAGACAATAATTACAAATCTCTTCCGCCATCTTGGACCTGCCATTTTATTGTTTTTTTTTCCAACAAAATTTCCATAATGCATTGTCATCGCAATGATGAACACCAAAGTTCAAGTGGAATACGAAACAGTTTATCTCGCAATAGGGCGCCAAAATGAAAAGTTAGGTAGTGAATACTTGCATGTCTGAATTCCTTATGAAATTATCTTTTCAATGCCGTGTCACACTCAGTACTTTTCGTATTCAAATTGTATGATTGACCAAGGGGTGATGGGGATTAAAAATCGACGTGTTTTTGTATTATTTTCACAACACATGTGTTTTGAAGAATTCGATTTCGGTGCCTGGTCGAATCGAACCATAATTACAAATTTTGCCCGCCATTTCAACCCTGAAAATCAACACTTACTAATTTTGATTCGAATCAGACCATAATTATAAATTTTGTCCACCATTTTGGAGTCACCTTATTGTTTTTTTGCATTGACAAACATATCATAATTTCCGACCCTGAAAACTACCACTTATCAATTCTGAATTAAATCAGACCATAATTGCCAATTTTGTCTTGTGGTCTTTTCGAAATGATCTACCACGGATAATTGAAACTTTATTCTCTCTAAAATTTGACTACCCCATGAAGCTGCTTTCTTCTGACACAATTATACCTCCTATGAAGAAGGTTAATCATAACTTTTTTCTCCTGACAACCGATACCAAACAAATTCGATGTAATATTGGGAAGCATCTGTGTCAAGTGAAAAAAAGTCCCCATTTTTTTAAATGCACCGTACTGTTTTGTTCGTTGAGGGTCTCATCTATCATTATTACTTTTTCAAAATGAACAAGACATATTTTCAAAATGAGCCCTCCAAGCTTCAGTTCCTTTACATTTTCGAGTGCTGATAGTGCATTGAATTAACCAAAAGGCATAATTTCGATCTGATTTAATTCATTACTTGCGGTAACACACTTCGCCTAGTATATTTGAGGAGAATGACTACCAATAAGTATTCATTCTTCAAATCAAACATTCAAAATCACTGCATTAGCCTAAGACGTTCATGAATATCTCTGATATGAAAAGAGGAAGAACTGTTGATTTATCTTTTCGTTGTTTGTCTGAGGGGCTTGCTATATCAGTTTCGAGCTTTGTGATTGATGTTTTCTTCCTTTTACTCTTATAATAACGATTTTTTCTTCACATTTGGGTTAGTTGAACGGATGAATGGCTTCAACATAGCTGAATCTAAGACACCGGGTTCAATGATTTGTACTGAAATGATTTTCTAATTATTCGGAGAGATTCTGAAGTCTTTCATCACTACCACTTGAATCCTACGTCATTGCTAGGTAGAAACAGTGAGCAAAATGTTCTCATTTACGAATATCAACAGTGTTTTTGGTGTCGACTACAAAATCCTAAGCAGAAATGATGAGGGATTAGAATGATTTGTTCCTCAATTCTAGCTCCTAAACCATCAGAATCCGATTCGCAAAAAATTCAAAATCCAATTCACGATTTCCAAATCCTTACCTCATCTCGGCTTTTCCACGACACATGATTATATATTTTGGAGCTTCTACCAAAACTGGCGCTTCCGATTGAGTTTTCAAATTAATTCTTCTGGAAATATTGGCATTCGACCCTGAACTTGTGGCTCCGGTAAAACTGATGAAATAGCATCAGTGAACTTACAAGAATCTATACATGAAAAGGAAGCATGATGTTTTAGGGTGGTATACCTTCCTGAATTTGGATGAATCCGAATTACGGTGATCTTATCCGGGCCAGTTTCTTCTCTCTCATTCTATCTTTTCAGTTGACTTTTTCAATTCACATTTAGTGAATCGTCTTCATCCTCCACCTGTTTGGTGAATTGGATAAGCAAGTTTTGCTATCTTTTTAATTCGGACCCGCTTTAAATGAAAAACATTATGATTCAACAAAAGTATAAGAATGAAGTATGTAGGAGAAAAAATTTGATGAAAGACAGTCATTACTAATATTCCAATTTTAAATACATATACGTTTCTAGGAAAGCTTTTACAATACGAAATTGAATCTAATCACGGAAGTTATTGACTTCAGGAGAAGACTCCCCTATAGTGGCATTTCACTGAATCTGATTATAATTATATATTTTGAATATTTGAGATGGTTTTTAAATGTCATCATGAAACATTTTCAGGGCAAGAGAATATGTAAATCAAATCAAACCTTACATGGTAGAGCTCAGAGAACTCCGAAGAGCTATAACGTGGATAAACCAAGAACAACGCTGTCTCGGTTTCAATGTTACGCCTTTCAAGAACGTGGAAGATGTTGAAAATTATTTGTACCCTTTCTTCCATTTGTTGAAAGTTTGCTTGAATATACAGAGACACAGAGACGTTTGGCTTGACGGCCAGTTTGAGTTTTTGAATTTCGATGAGACCGAAGGAATAGTTGAGGAATATATGAAGGACTTGCTGAAGATACAGAAGACATATCGAATTAAATTGAGGTTTGCACTTACATGAAACTGAATATTAGGTCTAGTAATTTTTTTTAAGCTCTGGATTCTACAATAGTTGTTCAATACAATACGAAATTCACATCTTTATTGAAATATTCAAAATAATGTCACTATTTTTTGGAAGGCCGTTGATTTTTGGAATTTCTTCTTGACGTTTCGCGAGTGGCTAGCTTTTTCAGAGGTTCATACATCCTGAGTTATCTCCGATGATTGGATATTACGGCTGGGTAAATCGTAAATACATAAATACGAACGATCGTCATTGCTGAACTACAAAAAATATATAGTGTTATATTGAAGTTGACTTGTTAAAAGCAATTTTCTAACTGACTGTAACTGTAACACACTACGTATTTATAGAAAAAATACTGCTTAGTAAGCATACAGGTATTCAATAGCGCATAACTGGGCTTGGTATCCTCCTAGCATGGGTACTGAATGTCGACTAGGCTTGATATTAGTGGTAGAGATCATCCACGTGCATACAACAATCCTTCTTTACGAAAAAAAGTTGGTTTATGGTCTTCTAACTCGTTATTCTCGTTAGGTTAGGTTAGGTTCAAAGTGAGTGGGTCTATTCGACCCTCCACCGCAACCCGCAAGGGTTTATCGTGGCACACACCTATTCTCATGCGGCCAAACAAACCCAGCTTCTTAACGAAGCCCATTAGTTTGTATGGTGAGTGGTCTTTCAGGTCAGATGGTAAGAGTACGGCTCTGCCGAACTCTAAAGACCTGATTCGGTCCCCAGCAGGACATGCACAAAGTATATGCTCTGTTGATGAGGTAGTCGGATAGTCGAATTGCAAGATTCCCACCTTGATACCCACGACAACCTTCCCATATGAGGGTTTTTGCATGTCAGCTACACCTGACGATGCCTTAGATTCAGCCGTGCATGGCTTTTTCGCCTCTGGTTCTGGTGAAACCTCACTTGAGCGCAAACGTTTGTTAACCTGCTCTTGGGGAGTTAGTTTTCCCACCTGAGACAGATTCTGCGTACGCCGCAGCTCTCGCTCCTGAACTAAATTTACAGGGAGGTCAGTTGGAGTCGTAAACTCGACTTCCATCTCCTCTGTAGACTCGCTCCTGAACTAAATTTACAGGGAGGCCAGTTGGAGTCGTGAACTCGAGATCCATCTCCTCTGTAGTTTCGCTCCTGGATTACATTTTACAGGAAGATCAGTTGGAGTCATAAACTCGACATCCATCTCCTTTGTAGACTAGCTCCTGTTCTAAGTTGACAGGGAGGTCTGTTGGAGTTATAAGCTCGACATCCATCTCCTCTATAGACTCAGCGTCAAAAATAATTTTCAAGTTTACTCTGTCCATAAAAGTCCCACGAGTAGCTAGGGAAAGAAGGTCAATCACCGTGACAAGGCGATGCTACGACGAGAGGGTACCCAGTATCTCGAAGGTTCCGTAGAGACAGCTGATAGGGTCAGTGTCATTCATCCTCTCGGCACGGATACAAACACCTTAGGATTGAGCCATCGTTGGGATGCCATTCAGTGAGGGAATAACAGAACCACAAGTGATTCTGTCATTCCCATATCCAGCGGGGTTACGTGGAAGCAGGCATCCGATGACCGGTTTACTCAACCTCCACATCCCAAGCCAATGCACTCGCCGAAAAGAGCATGTACAGTGGTTCAGGCAGTGAAAGATAAATAAGGATAGCCAACCCGCCCGTTATTCTCGTACTCTGTAATCTATCCTCGAAGGCTAGGTAATCTCTTTGGAAATATGCTGACTGAATGCTTCATAGGCCTGAAGTTTCGAATGTCAACGTTGCCTTCTGCATTCACAAAAAATGTGTTTGTTTATTTTTGGTTGGTTGGTTGGTTGAATCATCTATTGTTTTGAAATAAGTGTCAATTTTTTCTCAAAACAAAAAACTGAAACAGCACAAGACATATAATTCAATATAGGGTACAAATTGAACTGTGGACGCTGTCACAAATGAAGTATTTGTCAAACCGGACGGTATCTTGAAACATGAATTTTAGAACACACGAAAGACTAAGAAAGTTATTTTATAGAAACCCCACAGCCCTCGTTGAACATGAAAAAGAATAGACACATTTTTTAAATTTTGATCATCCAAATATTCTGGATGTTCAATCATATTTATCCTAAAGACTTTTGAGTGAAATAATTGATTAAAAAACAGACACCACCTTATTAGAATTACAGATGGAGCCATTCAGTTGTTTCACGTCGTTTTGTGTTGGTGTCTCGAAAATTTGGTTGTTGCAATGTTTTTTATTTTTTATTATGCATCTAATGTCTTCGATGGTTTTGAAATTGTAATATTATTAACACGAAGAAACTACTTTTCGGTAAGTAATTGGAAGAAATGGAATTGTCATAGAGGAAAATTCTAGAATGACTTGATAACGAAATGTAGTGAGGTTTTATATTTTTCCAAATGAGCGTTATAAGCCCTTTATAATGGTTATGGTTATTAGTTACTGAATTTGATTTCACGTGTTATTTCAAATATCCTTCATTAAAATTCAATTGAATTCGAAATGTTGGCAAGAAAACAAAAAAATTGATCCTGTTACCACACCAACCTTTCTTCAGAAAAATTATTGGATCACTAGTTAACTGAATATCAAAGGCTTATATTGCGATGTATTTTTGTTAAATATCAGTATACGCCTACAGTATTCTTAATCATTTTTATTTCGTAAGAGGCTACTCTTCCGATCAGTAGGAGTAACCCGAAAATAAATGAATTCTCAATGTACAGTTTCATTTCATAAAAGTTTGCTTTAGTTCTTTGATTAGTTTGCAAATTGAAAAACTGAGTTTTGAAACAGCTGTTCGATTATGAATTGGGCGTAGTATTCATTCTGCGATTTATCTTTTATTTGCGATTCTTTCACGTATACTTTGTCGCCTATTTCATAATCCCGTGGTTCACTGGAAATGTTCCGGCCAATGTGAATGTTTGCTTTCGCGTGCGACTTTATAATAATGGGAGATTCTGTTATTAGGATATCTTACATATTTTGCAATTACATGTTCTCGGCTATATTATTTTTTCTGGAGGTCTACTCGCTGTATGCCGAAAACGAATTAATGCGGTGAAAAAACCGTGAGGATTGTTTACATATTTGGTACTGTGTTTGTTGAACCGTCAAGAGGGTGGTCGTCTGTGATGCGTTCGTTTCATTTTTACTAAGGTGCGTATTCCTGAGCGAACGAAGGCCGAACAAACAGCGAACTCTGAACAGTTCGGGGTTCGTTCGGAAGCAATTCCTCGATTTCGTTTCGATGAAGCAAACTCCGCACCGAATGTAGTGTTTAAAAAGTTCGCTATTCGCTAGGCATTTGGCTTACTGTTTTTTGTTCTATATCCAGAGTGACAATAATGTTATTGCACACTTTGAATTGTATGTCTTTCTGGTCAAAAATGAAAAAATTTCCAAAAAAGCAAATTCTGGGTCACTTTCAGTATAATACGTTTATGAAGGGTCTAGGTCGTCTTCTATAAAGGTTGAGAAGCAAATGTTCGATCACCGATTCCGCGTCATAGGTGAGATGAACTATCTTGTGAGAAATATTTTGTCAAGCCGTCGCCGGTTATGGAAAGCCAAGATGGCGAATCATCAACGCAAACCGATATCAAATGGTTTTTGTTATTTTTTTTTTGCATGGTCCAATGTGCATATATACTTATGATATTAATATCTGAGAAATATACGTCTTTCAGTAGTAAGGTACCTAATGGAATAGTTATTTATGATATGAGTGTTGAAAGTAAGGTTTTATTTTGTGAGTGAAATAGTTTGTGAATTTCACAAAATTTTATATAAAGTTTTTTGTATAACTGTCATGTTTTCATAATAAAATAGATGAATTTAATATTTGATATCTCTTGTCAGTTAACTATTTTCATGTTATCGCATTTGCTGTGAAGTGGCCATGTCAGGTGACGCCGACTCACCTGGTTACCAACAAACAGCATTGTTTACAGTTCACGCGTTTTATTCAGAGTCACATTTAAAGTTATTGCTGGTGTTTAATGTAGCTGGTGTAGACTTGAAAACGTCGAAAGAAATTTCAGCGGAACCGCCCTCTTAGCCTATCTAGAAGAGAAATGAAGAATATGGAACTCGTTAACTTTGTGGAGCAAGTTTTCAATGACAAACTCGAGTGCGCTCGTTAAAAATGGTGTTAATACAAGCATATTTCAATATAATAGCATTCTTAAAGCGGGAAAATGGAAGTTACAGACTTAAAAAATCAAAAACTCTTTCGTTTGAATGAGTCCAGAGGTTTATGAATGAGGTGTCAGATGAAAAATATTTGATGATAAAGGTTGCTACTATTATCGGAATATATGGAGCCTGCCAGTGTGAAGAACTGTGCCATTTATTAGAAGACATTAAATTAATGGATAAGTCATTGATAGTTCAAATTCCAAATATGAAAACAAAAATAGGTCGTTCTTTTTGCATTGTTGGAATAAACATTGATTATTTTAATAAATACGTTGCATTACGCGCTTATGTTATCAATCATCAACGTTTTTTTCTGAAATACTGAAATTATAAATGCAGTATCAACCCAGTTGGTATAAACACGTTTGAAAAAATGCCCTCTACCATTGCTGAGTTTCTGAACCTCCCGGAACCAAAGGAATACACAGGTCACTGTTTCAGAAGGTCTTCTGCTTCTTTGCTAGCAGAATCAGGAGCAAATATAACGGATGTTAACAAGCACAGACGATGGAAGTCTACAACAATAGCTGAGGGTCACATCGATCAATCTATTTCTTATGAAAAGGCTATTTCTGAAAGAATAATCCCAACAGCTCGCTCCAGCGTTACAGCATTCAAGAATGGGGAATGTTGCTCCTGACGAAAATCAAGTAGTTTTCATAAAAGAGCTCTAATACAAAGCATTTTGAACTTATCATTTCAACTTTTTTAAAAAAAAATCATTTAAATACTTAAAAAAAAATGAAACAATGCATTCAATATTTAAAGAGATTCATTTTTATTTCACCATTTGGCAACATCGGTTATAGCTAATAAAGGACAATGAATCTGTTACCTGTATGAGACAAACAAAGATGACATATTTCAGAGGCGTGCTGATTAAACTCAACTTTATTTTGTTCAAACTTGCATTTGGTGTAATAACCCAAATTGAGGAACATTCCCCATTGAATGCCTAGTTCAAGCTAGTTCAAATATATTACAAGGCTCTTCAACATCGCAAGGTATTAATATGTGCAGTTGTTCTAATTGTACTTTGTATATATTCATAAATGATAATACTGGGGTAAATTATGTATATAATACATTCATAATAGAATTTAATTGTATCTACATGAAAATTGAATAATTATGTTCGTGTTAATACTTTTAACAGTAGTGTTGGAAATATTTTAACACGCTACTCTGTAAACATCATCTTTAAATACTCTTGACAACCAGTCAAAATGTAATTTTTAATGACAGTTGAAAAATATATCAAGAGAGGCAACATTGAGGACTATGCATCCCAGTTATTTAGAATATCATTATGTGAACTTAAGGGATTTTTACTGTTCTATGAATCAAAATATAAACATTTAAACTAGAAGGTGATTGCAGATACTTGAAATATCCTCAGGTACGAGGGTGGTCTAAAAAGTTTCTGACCTAACGAAAATACAAGACATTTTTTTAGGTTTTCTTATTTTTCAACTCTTCTCAATTCTATACACTTCTCCTAGCAATGCTCCCATCTCTGTAACCTGTCCAAAGAGTACTTAGCTTTTTTCTCTGCAAAATAATTGTTCACGAAGGTGATTGCCTCTTAATTCGATAAGAATCTCTGTCCTCCTAGATGAGGGAACAAGAAGAAGTCGCTTAAGGCTAGATCTAGTGAGTAAAGCAGATGGTCAAGCAGTTCAAACCTTAATTCGTGGATTTTTGCCATGGCAACCACTCAGGTGTGAGACGGTGCGTTGTCTTTGTGAAACAGGATTTTTTTCTGCGTATGTGTCAAGTAATGATGCGTAGTATGCTCCTGTAATGGTTTTTCCTTTTTGAAGATAATCGACTAAAATAACTCCATGACTATCCCAATAAACAGCCGTCATCACTTTCCAAGCTGAAAAAACATTTTTTGCTTTTTTGGAGCCGGTTCCCCGTTTGCGGTCCGCTGTTTTGACCGTATTCTTGTTTCGGGCGTGTATAGTGTATCCAGGTTTTATTTACAGTAATTAATCGGCATCAAAACTCGCATAAATTGCGCCTAAACTGCGCCAACAGAGCGTTGGAAATATTCATTAGAGCACGTTTTTTGTCTAATGTGAGCAAACGCGGCACCCAACGCGCGGATACCTTTCTCATGTCTGAATGTTGATTCAATACACGTTGTTTTGACATGTTCATAACTTCTGCTTTCACTCTTACTCTAACTCGGCGGTCGTCTAGGACCATTTGGTGAACTTTGGTGATGTTTTCGTCGGTAATTGCAGTTATGCAGTTTTTGGACATCCCGAATGTCCATCGTCTCTCAAGCTCTCACAGCCACATTTAAATTCAGCTGTCCAAAATTTCACTGTGGTGAATGATGGTGCAGAGGCCTCATATACCCTTCTCCCAGAGGAGTTGATCCTCTGGGATAAGGATATATGAAGAACAGATAGTTATTGGTTCACACATGGATCAAAAACACCTACCGGTTCTGGTGCAGGTGTTTTCAGTCGCAGACCCAGGACAGAGGTATCAACCTGTCTAGGAACCTATGCGATTGTATTTCAAGCGGAAATTTACGCTATTGAATTGTGTGCAGAAAGATTGGAAGAATCCAACTTCATACACAAGTCAATAAAAATATTCTTGGACAGTCAAGCGGCATTGGAAGCTCTTGGCTCCTACCGAGCAACGTCTAAATTGGTAGCAAATTGCCAAAAATGATTCTCCTTGATAGGAAGACTTAACAGATTGCCTCTGGTCTGGATTCCTAGCCATACTGCCCTGCCAAACAAATATTAAACACTGGATGACAAGAAGTTTTATGGAGTTCTGGTAGAATCTTCCAGGATTGCCTCACTCCAAGGCGTTTATTCACCCTTCGAAGCTTGATACCAAACAGTTGTTGGACTACAGAAGGGATGAACTACGATGTCTAATAAGCCTTCTTACAGGTCACTGTCAAATGAATCATCATATGCAGATACTCGGACTGTCGGAAGATTGTGTGCTTCGCCTCTGTTTGGAAAATCATCAGGCTTTTAGAGTTCGGCAGAGCCATACTCTAACCATCTTACCTGAGAGACCATTCACCATACAAACTAATTGGCTTCTTTAAGAAGCTGGATTTATTTGGTCGAGTGTGAATAGGTGTGAGCCACATTAAACCCTTCCGGGTTGCGGTGGAGGGAATATACCCACTCACTTTGGACCTAACCTAACTTAACCTAACCCAACCTAACCCCATATACAGAATCCAACTCATCTTTGATTAGCGTAGGCGTATTGCCTTTCAAAACCAAATACTTAATGACAGCTCGATACTCAGTTTGGTCCATTTTCATAAAAACACCCACATCAACTCACTCAAACGACTGTTCCATAACAACTGCACGTCTAAAATGACTGAAATATTGGTGAGCAACTGTCAACAGATGAACGACAAAATTCACTAACTTCTGTTTACGAGTGCTGCTATCTTCTTGTTGAAGTCAGAAACTTTTCAGACCACCCTCGTATGAACTGAAATCTACCTATATAGAAAATGCTGTGATCCAGAACCCTTGTTATTCAGTGAATTGTGACCAGCGACTTCTCATCAGAAGTAACCATTCCAAAATTTCATTAAATGATGAATGCAGTTCAACTTGCTGAAAATACTTTCCTTTTCTTGTTGAAATTTGATATGAAAATGCAGTGATCATTGAACGAACTGTTTTTTTTTTATTTTCAAGACAAGCTCAAGCGGAAAATAGTCCACTTCGCTTTTTTGGAACTGTCGATGATCCTGATTTATTCAGTTGGCCATCTCCTCTGAAATTGACTGCTCTTGCTATTCAAACACTTAAAGGTAGGCGGCACCCAGCTAATAAATTTCAATTCCTCATTTAGTAGTATTGATGGTGTTCATAAATATTATAGTTTTTCAAAACCTATCGAATAGTTTTTCAAAATTTATCGACAACGTGAAATGGATAAAAAGTTCAATATGATTGGTGCACCCAATGTAATGTAATAAGTTGACTAGGTTTTTTTAATGACATTTCAGTCTGAATATTGATGAAATTGGGTTAATCATACTGTAAAATTTCATTCACAAACGCAATGTTTTTCAAGATTTCAGGCCGGCTATGACAATCATGAGAATAATGTGTAATGATGCACTTATGAAGAGACATTGGAAAGACATGTCAGCGATTGCTGGATTTGATTTGACTCCCAATGCTGGCTCTTCTTTGAAGAAACTCACTAAGATGGGTGAGTAATTCTTTGTTACTGACTGAAAATATAACATATTTGAAAGTTTCGCTCATCACTTTCCATTTCGTTTTTAAGTTTTCTTGTAAATTTTGCGATGATGATGATTGCCCTGTGTATTATCTATATCTTTTTTCTGAGATTGCGTTGGTAGATGTAGAATGATTAATACATTGGGCACTTATTGATATCAGGTAATTTTTGTTTTTCTGTATTGATGAAAAGATAGCTCAAAAAAATGTGTCCATTAGTTTTCAAAATACAATTTCTATATTTGGTTCTCAACTATTCTTTCATAGAAATGAATAAAGAAAGTTCTGAATTTTATTGCAGAATGATTAAAAAATTTATTCTGTTGCTTTTGAAAGCTAAATGATTTCTTTAATAGCAGAGAAACAAAAAAATTCGAAACATTCAGCTTTTCTATTTGGTAGCATTTGGTTGAACAATAAAATATGCCTATAGACTGGCTTGGAAAAATGAGGGAAATGTACTAGTTCCAGATCGTGCGATAATAGTATATTATTCGAAGAGCATATAATGATGGCTATTATTTACGAGGTGAAGTTGTTGAAGTTTTTCTGTTGGGAAAATTTTGTTACATTACATACATATTTTTAGAAACACTATTATTTTATTTTAACAAATAGTTCATACAATACATTATTGTTCATCTATACACAGTACATAAAGATTAATACACTAATAATAATAATGAATGGTCTTTATTTCACGTGGCGGAGTTTAGTAAAGCGCTATTCTTCCACTCAACCACGTTTGAAAAAAAAAGAAATATTGAAAAAAATTAATGGTGATTTCAGGACAATAGTTAGGTTAGGCTAGGTCCAAAGTGAGTGGGTCTATTCGACCCTCCACCGCAACCCGCAAGGGTTTATTGTAGCTCACACCTATTTACACTCGACCAAATAAACCCATATTCTTAACGAAGTCGATTGTTTGTATGGTGAGTGGTCTCACCATACAAGTGGTATGGTCAGGTCAGAAGATAAGAGTACGGCCAAACTCTGAAAACCTGATTCGGTCCCCAGCGAGGCAGTCACAAAGTGTGTGCTCTGCTCTTTCATTATTTCCCAAACAGAGGCGACACACACTGTCTTTCGAAAGTCCTGGTCTCTGCATATGATGATTTAAATGACAGTGACCTACAAGAAGGCCTGTTAAACATCGTAGTTCATCCCTACTGTAGTCTAACAACTGTTTGATATCAAGCTTCGAAGGGTGAATAAACGCCTTAGAGGGAGACAATCCTGGAACATTCTGCCAGAAGTCCATAAATATTCTTGCCATCCAGGTGTTCAATCTTTGGCAAAGCCTGAAGTGATGCCAGTAACAGGTTCTGGTCCCTCCTTTGCAAGGGAGTCAGCGGCCTCATAACCTTTCAGGCCAGTATGGCCTATAATAGAACAGAGACAATTTATTAAGTCATTCTGTCGAGTAGAGTCGTTTTTGGCAATTTGCTACCAATTTAGACGTTGCTCGGTAGGAGCCAAGAGCTTTCAACGCCGCTTGACTGTACGAAAATATATTTATTGACTTGTGTATGAGGATGTTGTATTCTTCCAATCTCTCCGCACACAATTCAATAGCGTAAATTTCCGCTTGAAATCAGTCTCATAGGTTCCTAGGCAGGCAGAACAGAAAAGTGTATTTGATCCATCTGTAGGACAATAGTAAAATGAAATACAAATGTTTATGTTTGGATCACTGTTGACTGAGCAATTTAGTTTCAAGTTTACTTTTGAATAGCGGTAGTGATGAATTTTTCAAAGATTCACTGAATGAATTATACATTGTTACAGCATGATACGTGAAGGATCGTTCATAGATAGTGATGTTATGATTTGGAATGTAAAAATTATCATTGAATTATTCTTGAATGTACCTGATGTGTGGAAAGGAGTTTCTATAAATTGGTGAACCTAGCCGTTACTACGTTTTGAGAGATCATCATGAAAAATGAAAAATAAAACTTTCTATGTTTTTTTACCACTAGTATTTGTAATTAACGTTACTAAAGTTTCGTCCTATAAGGAAATTTTCAAACAATTTCAAAAAGTTTTATTCATCATTTTTCACAAAAATTTATGTATTTAGCTTAACAATCTCGCAAGATGATATTAATATTACAAAATATTAATTTATTGTTATTAATGATTGTAATATTTGAACAATTGGTTTTGGTGACTTGTCGAAAAATTTGAATTATATGTACATTGATTCGTTTGGTTTACTTTTGGTTGAAATGAAGATGATATTTTGTTGGCCGTATTGGTTTTATTTTTGACGTAAAAACCGATTGTTTGTAGCAAAATAATATAATATTATAGCTAATTCATGGAAGCATCTGATATCAGTGATTAATTACTGATTGATCGGTATTAGTAAGGTTGAGCAAACAGACGTATAATTTGTTATACAATAGTGGATAAATGTTATTATTGAATGGCTGAAATCCTACTCATGTATAACACAAAGTCGCTTCCCGCTGTCTGTCCCTGTGTATGCTTAGATCTCTAAAGCAACGGATTTTTTTATGATGAACGTGAATGACGATGATGAGCAAATTTTAACAAAGTATAAAACATATTGTCTGAAGCTTATATATGGTTCGGTAGCTACAAATTCTTTGAGTTGAAAACAAGCTACCCTTAATGAATTTTGAAACAATGATTTTCAGGAAAAATATTCAATTTGACATATTCATATATGATCTAACTTTCCTTATCGCACCCCCAGAGCACGTCACCATTTTTTTAAATGGGTGAATTATTCTGCATTATCAGATGTTTCATGTTGAACAGATTTCAACAGAGTAGAATACATTATGGTCTGAAGCTCATAGTTTTGAAGCTAAAAATTATTTGAGTTGAAAACGGGCCACCCTGAATGAACTTCTGTATAATCTCTTACCTCGGTTTCATTGGTGGTTTTGTGAAGTATACTTCAAGAACGTCTTATTTTGCTTAGGTAAGTTTGATATTCTCTTCATTTTGCATTTGTCTCATTCTACAATAACGATTACCTACCAGGGGAAGTTAAATTAGTGTTTCTGTTTTTGTGACTTCTTGAGAAGCAATGGTTTATACGCTTCGAGAACGGATTAATAATAATAACAATATTTATTTCTTTGGTTGAAAAGTACAGTTGACAGAAATCAATGCACAATAAACAAAGAAAATATCAATTATAAAAGTAAAAGTTAATGTAAAAACATATAAATGTAACCATATTATAAAAGTCAGTCCAAATAATGTGTAACCATATTATAAATCAGTCAAAATAGAATAAACAACACAATAACACAAACAGTGATAAACATCCATAAGTGATAAAAGAAACATATACATATAAAAATATAAATGTAACTAGTTATAAACTATGAAAAGCCAATAAAATATAATCAACACACAATTTCTCAAGTATTTCTCAAGTATTGCTAGTGCGCACTTCAACCAAATGTGCTGAAGCTCAAGATCTCAGGTTAGTTGATTGGTGACATCATGGAAATAATGCGAAATAATATACCATAAAAAAATTGGTAACATACTCCGGGGGTGCGATAGGGGAAGCAACATCAAATGTGAATATGTCAAAATGTGTCCGCCTGTATACTATTATTGACGTGTTTTTTTATTTTTCCTGAAAAAAATTGTACCAAAAGTTATTCAGGATGGCTCGTTTTAAATGGAATGCACTGTATGTGTGGAACCCCACATAATAGAAATTAAAACGACTTCATAAACAATATTTCTGTTATCTACTGTTTGAGTGTTTTATGTACACGCCAGAGATGGCTGCATGAAAATATTGGCATGTAAAACGTATTAGTGTGACTCCACCAGTGTGGTGTCGCCAAAAAAAGTCAAGTTACTATTTATATTTTTTCTCCTAACACTTTCCTCCTTAGTATTTTTGTGTTTTATTGCATGATTTTCCATAGGCCTTGAGGCAGATCTTGACAAATATGATGTCATAAGTTCAGGAGCAACGAAAGAGAGAGAATTATTAAGAAACCTCACTAAAATGCAAGGCGAGTGGACCGACATCCTTTTCAAAACTGGCCTTTTCAAAGAGACCGGCATAACTATTTTAACCGCTCTGGATGATATTCAAGTTGTTCTTGACGATCATATTCTGAAAGCTCTCACGATGAGGGGTTCGATTTTCGTAAAGCCCTACGAAACGGAAGTACGTGGATTTTACAATAAATTAGTCAGGATAAACAAAACTCTGGAGGAATGGGGAAAAGTTCAAAGCCAGTGGTTGTATCTGTTGCCAATATTTTCATCAAAAGATATTGTTGCTCAGATGCCTGAAGAGGGAAACCTTTTCAAAGAGGTGAGACATTCATATGACAGATTCCAGCAATGGTGTTTGATGTTTTTGATTTTTATTTCGTGAAAATAACCATTTTGAAAATTTTTTCTCTTAGGTGAACGATACCTACAAAAGATACATTGATGTGGTTGTCAGAGATCCGAGAGTTTTCGAAATCGCTGGAGCATCAGGCGTTCTGGAAACGATGGAACATTGCGTTGAATTATTGGAAAAAATCAACGATGGCGTTACCAGTTATTTGGAGAAGAAAAGATTATTTTTTCCACGATTTTTCTTTTTATCCAACGACGAGATGTTAGAGATACTATCTGAAACGAAAGATCCACTCAGAGTTCAGCCGCACTTGAAGAAGTGCTTTGAAGCTATCAATTTACTGAATTTCAATGAGAAGTTAGAGATTTTGGCCATGTTCAGTCAGGAAGGGGAAAAGGTTAATTTCAGGAGTATGGTTAATACCAAAGAGGCTGGAGGAAGTGTTGAAAAATGGTTGATTCAGGTTGGTTAATATTTTTGAATAAGGTAGTGAACATAAATCAGTTGAATCAGATAATGTTGATAACTCATTCACCATATGTTTCCAGTTTAGCATTATTTGTCAAAAAACGAATTATTTCCGACAAAAAAAAACTTTCATCACAGGTATTATGAAGAATTTTGCTGAATCAAAAATTTATTATTTTGCTAGGTCAATACGAAATATAACTTTGACAATTTTTTGAGTGAAAGGACGGTACGAAACAAGCTACTACAGGAAGGGGTGCACCGTAACGGGCGGTATGGATGTCTAACTTATATGCTGTCATAAAGGCTCAGTGAGTTGTGCCTCGTTTTGTCTAGTTCACATGTACAATTTTTTAAAAAAAATTTATAAAGTCTCCGAAAATTATGATCAAGGTCTCATTCAAATTGATATTGTCACGTAGACAGTTTGAGGATGAGTTTGAAAAAGCGCTGAAAAAAATTACAAAAGTTATAAACAATCACCAACTCGCATCAAATGGACATATAATGAATTAATTACCAATTTTCACATTAGAAAACAGATTCAACAGAGGGAAATGATTCAAATCTATTAGGTCATTCAGTAAATTTTTTAAATTCTCAAATCTACCAATTTCCTAACATTCTAAAAGATTGACTTCTAAATCGTTCTCTTTCGAATGTAATATTTCATAGTCGTGGTTGAACTCATGGCCCTCTGTCAAAAGTTGGTTTGCAAATAAATATTGAATTGATTTTCACTTTCGAAAAACTACTCATTCGTTCTATCATTTGGAATTAGGTTCTCTACGTTTGGCCGCTATACCTGAGAAAGAAACCTAACTTATGATCTATCCGACACTGAAGTTTTGTTTTTACTGTTAAGAATTCAAAAAACACACTTCAATGTGAGGTTTGCACTTGAGAGTCCAAAAAGTAACGACACGTGTTTCGCTATTATAAGCGCGATTGATTGTTTGAAACCTTCAAACTGTTTAGATGCCCAAAATTTGAACGCTCGTATCATCAGGGAAACCATCCTAACTAGCCTTTTACAGGAATGGTCAACCTCATATTTAAGACAGGTGTTTTTCCTGACGCTTTCAAATATGCGAAAGTAATTCCAGTTTTCAAGAAGGGGAACCCATGTTTCCTGGACAGTTACAGGTCCATATCTATTATTTCTATTTTTTCCAAAGTCGTTGAAATAATAATGAAAAAGCGTCCGTATGATTCCTTCGAGAGCAACAATTTCTTTTCTCAGGGTCAATATGGGTTTCGCAAAATCGTTCTACTTCTCTAGCTGTCTTTGATGTTGTTGGATCTACTGTTGAAGGATTCGAGAAGGGTGTGCACACTGCCATAATGCTTTTTGACTTGTCTAAGGCTTTTGATTGTGTATCACACAGTATATTTCTTGAAAATTGTATTATTATGGAGTTAGAAGTATATCTCTGTCACTCATAGAACCATACCTTTCAAATAGGTATCAGGCGGTTTCGTGAAATGGTGTTACATCAACCTGTTGAACCTGTTGATCACGGTGTTCCACAAGGTTCAATAATTGGGCCCCTGCTCTTTGTTATTTATGTTAATGACATATGTTATTACATGTCTCCCTATAAGTCCATTCTCTATGCAGATGATACAACTTCAATATATAGCGATCGATCATCATCTAACATTCCACAAGTAATGGAAGGAGTTGAAAATCAAGCCAACACTTGGTTTCTGGCAAATAAATTGAAGTTGAATAGTGACAAAACTCAAAATCTTGAGTTCACCACTGTAGGTTCAGCTAACAAAAGTGTAAAATTACTTGGCATTACTCTCGACAGTACTTTATCTTGGCATCAACATACAGGTCTTCTCGCAAATAAAGTATCTAGTGCAATATTCATTCTTCGTCAACTGCAAAACATCACAAGCGGTGAGATTCTAAAAATGACGTACTTTGCATTATTCAACTCACACATCAGCTACGGTATTGTTCTTTGGGGGAACTCTCCTGGTACTCAGCCAATGTCTCGGAATACTACGATCATTTTAGGACAGTTCATGTCAGCTATGTATACTCGAGATGAAACATACTCACCGGTATCGATTGTACTGTGGTAGTTTGTAAATACCCCTATTATCATAGATGAATATTCATTTGCTTATATATGTACGTAGGCAACCCCTGCGTTGTTTGATATTTTTACATTTTTACAATTTACTTCGTTGTTTTATATGTTTATTTAAGAAAGCCTATACACTTGACTTGCATGACAACATGAAATTGTAACGTAGTTAATAAACTATTCAATTCTATTCTATTCTATACAGTAGCATCTTCAGGCATCACAATATACAATATGTGAAGCTCGAAAATGCTATTGTATGGAAAAACGCGCGTCGCGGTTTTGAAATACTATTCAGTGGAAATTTCACATTGAAGTGTGTTTTTCGAATACGTTATAATGGATTTTCATCAATTATCGGCCAGTTCTATAATATATGTCATTACTATTTTCAATAAATTACCTCAAATCATTATTCGTTCTGAAGGCCACGTCCAAGTTTTATTTTTTCAAAAACGAGAGAGGTTATTGGTGGGTTCACCAGAGTAGATATGTTAATGTCCTATGACGCTTATTGTTGTTTCTTGAAGTGGAATAGACTTGGTGAATGGCTTGTTTCCGTCTTTTTTGGAAACAAGAGAGTCAATAACCATTGTAGATAGCAATTTGTTTTATAAAACTCAAGTTTTCTCTAAAAATCGATTTCCGACAGAGAACTATTCAATAGTCGGTGAAATCCACTATTGGATGGTTCGTTATTGATTTTAGTGAAAGAAAACCTATCAAATGTTTCCCATTATTACAGCACTTCATTTTACATTTTACCAAGAAGACTACATTCGAAATCACAAGGATCGGAATGTATATGCTTGGATTCTGTTAATAATCATTGACCAATTTCCTTTTAATGAAAATCTGGACGAAGATATGTGTCCATAACTTCCAGAAATTCAATATTTCCTTTGATAACTCAGGTAGTCGAAAAACAATATAGGATAAGGTATCACCAACAAGATAGATTTCCTCCATTTCACATAGACCAGTGAATGGATCAGTGAATTTGAATCTTTCGTGAACTGAATTGATACATCAGATGAATAATCATCTCAAATCTTGACTTGATGAAATATCGGGCATCTCCTATATTGACAAAAATAACAAAAGTTGAGAAACGTTATGCCCACTATACACCTTAACAACTATTCAAGCTCCACATTTTACATTTGGATCGAAAAGGAAATATAGGAATGTAGGCTTTCACGGTTGGCATCGATGTTCTGGTCGGTTTCCTGGTTTTGCCGTGGTCCTCTTTCGTTACAATATCTAAACATATCAACTGCAACTGTGGCAGTCATCTTCAGTGGCTTGGTCAAAGTACTCTTTTTGACGTTTCAGTTGATACGTCAACTGCCATTTTGCATAGAAAAACCACAAATATCCAAATTGTTCATTCCAATTCAAAATTACTGTATGAATCTTATTGAAGTTTAACCAAGGTTTAACCAAAACCAACTCAATGAACAAAAACCGCCTGGGTTGAAGGGCAAAAAAAAACAAAACAAGGTCAATAAGTTGGTTCAACCCCAAAGGTGGGAAACAAAAAGTCCAAAAAAATCCGAAACCCTCAATCCCCAAAAAAAAACCAAAAACCCCCTGAAGGGAAAACAAAGCCCAAGCCCCAGTCAAGGGCCAAAAACCGAAAAAAACCAACCCCCCGGTTGGAAAAAACAAAAACAACTGCAAACCTGAAAAGCCGAAATCAACAACCCCCCCGGGAACCGGCCCAAAAAAAAAAGCCGAAAATCCCGCTCCCCCAAGGGTAAAAAACAAACCCAAAAAAGGAACCCAAACCCCCAAGACTTTACAAAGTTCACGGCCTCTTTAGTCGTGGGTAGTACAATCATGGAACGTACGAATTGGGTTGCAAACTCCTGTGGAGATGCATCACTATGACGATGCATCATTTTTCGAGTCTTTACATCGAGTTGATCAAGCTCCTTCCGAGCCCACTCCACTACTTCAATCGAGTAGAGTAAAATTGGAATGGTAAGCATATTTGTAGCAGCAACTTTGTTTTTCAATTTCTATGACCAGATTTGTCAGAGTTTGTTCCGATACTTGCCGTAGAGAGTTATTTACTACTGTTTCCTATTGTGAATGGCATTATTTCATTTCGAAGTGAGTATACGTCTCTCCGGCATCCAGATGGCCCAGGATGCTTTCCTACGAGCTGTATATCCTCTCCATGATCTCCGCATCGTCTTCTTTGAAGGCGAACTGTTGCAAATTCATTCTGTCACGGATTTCATACTGACAGGCGATATTATCATCATCATTATTATTTTTTTCCTAACATTGCGCTGGTCGGGTCCTATTCCCCGAAGCTCCAATACATTCGAGAGGGCGCGCCAGCATTATCAACCGCTTACTTCACATCGTGGGGTAAGTGATTGTCGAGTCCGAGAATCATCCACCCTAAGCTAACGCAGTGTGCTAAAAATGACAGCCTTCTGCATTTGTCCGGCTAAAATTCCTTACTTAGTGCGTGATCTTAAGATTCAAGTGTAGAGAGGGCATCATTCCACCATTCCATTATTGTTATTGTTATTCCTATTATTTTTTAAGCCAAGGTTGTGTTAGTCAGGCCCTATCCCGATACATTCAGGAAGGCGCTCCAGCATTATCAACCTACAACCACTCTCCTCACTGTGCGTGGGGTATTTAATTATTGTTATTATTATTATTATCATAATTATTATTCATCACACAGGTTGAAGATCAGATGGTTATATCTGTAAGAGATCAGATTCTTAAAAGTTTCAAAAGCTACTTGGTAACGTCAAGAAATCAGTGGGTTCAAAAATGGCCTGGCCAAGTAGTGCTGTGCGTATCCCAAATGCATTGGACTCATAATGTTCACTTGGCATTGAATAGAGAAGACGGGATGACACTGCACATTCTGTTCGGTACGAACTGTTAGCATATTTTAATTTATTTGATTTTATAGGAGAATGATTACAGAGGGATTGGTGTAGAAAAATTATCATTTCAATAACGTTCAACGTATTCAGAACTCATGTCTGAAATAACTGGTTTTTAACATTTCAGATACATTGAGGACACAGCTTCAAGATATTGTTGGTTTGATTAGAGATCCAACTTTGACGAATCTATCAAGAATAACCATTAAAGCTTTGATTGTAATTGATGTTCATGCCAAAGATGTGGTAGAAGAGTTGCTTTCAAAAAAAGTAGGTAGTGATAAAGAATTCAAGTGGCTTTCTCAGATGAGATACTACCTGGAAGATGATGAAGCTCTTGTCAGGCTGATAAATGCGACCGTCAAATATGCTTACGAATATTTGGGTACGTAAGTACTTCGATTGATTACACAGGTCTGCAAAAAAAACTTAAAAAAAATGTTTTGATTTCGTTAACTGATCTTTATGTAGTTTTTTGCACTGATTTCAAAAATGACATTTGTTTTTATCTATCATGTGAGGTTTGCCTACATAATAAGGATGAAATAATTGAAAAAGTACAAAAAAAACGAGGAATTGTATATTTATTTTTATTATTTTAACATGAAGTGAAAGCAAAAAAACAATGCCACATAGCTAAACTAAGCCATCATCGTAACATTCCACCGACCTTGGTATCTGCGTTCCATTTCTTTTATGTCTTGATGGAACCGTTCTCCTTGCTCCTCACTTACAGCCCCTATATTCTTATGTCAGGCCCAACGAAGACTCTTTCTTTCAGCTTAGCATCGGATAGACTAGGAAACTTTTCAGAAATATACTTGAAACAATCTCCTTCTTTGTCTTATGCTTTTACAAACTGTTTCATTAGCCCCAATTTGATATGGAGTGAGATTCTTTTTGGATCCACTAAACTTTGTTTTTCACCATTTTAACTCCAGGAATAAGACCCTTTCTTATTGGTCACACCTGCTTGACATAGTGTTGTTTTCTGTCACGGCTATACCATTCACATAGGAAACATGGAATCTTAGTGTAACCACTTTGTTGACCTAGTAACATTGAAATAACTTTCAAGTCCCCACAAATGATCCACTTATGATCAGAGTAGCTGAGCTTATTAAGAACAAATTCAAGATTTTCGTAGCATTCTTTCAAATGGACTGAGTGTCCAACAGGCACAGAAGCATATTGGTTCCCATTGTGAAGAAGTACAACTTTCAAACTTCTTTTTGATGAATCGATAAAAAGTCTCCATTTCTCTGATTCATACGTTATGTTGAACATTTCCATGACGCCGGGTACATTGTTGCAGAAAACTAGGTCACCGTCTTGTGTAAAAAAAGGGACATATTCTCTTTATCTAAATCGGTACCATAAAAATGAAACACCGGAGGCTAACATATGTCTTTCTTTAAGTCTAAGTCAGAAACATCGAACTCATATCGAACCTAAAAACCCATTTAATAAGAAAATGTCAGGTGAAATTTGTGACTCATCTATAGGTGATAGAATTTTTTAAATATTTTTTCCATAATCTGCACACAAAGTACTGTTAAAGTCACTAGTTGAATATCCTATAATTTTTTCATCGCAGACCTGTGTTATCTTACATAATACAATACATAAAACATATTTAAATTTTTCTAGATTTTTTTAATATGTCGGTACAGACTGAAGAAGAAAATACAAGGGAAGATTTTTTCTTCTTCACCCTTTACCATATGGTTTGAATTGTTGACAATACTGAATGACTTTTTAAACGGTTTTACTTAGCTTGCCCTGTTCGTTTGTTTGTTTATTTGTTTGAGTCCAATTTAGTAATTGAAGTTTGACCCTCTTCCTGTTGACAGATTGATCTGAAATTTGGTACACACATTTATTTTTCATGACAATACAATTTAATGAATTCTGTATCATTGTAAATCCAAGATGGTTGCAGCTACAGAAAGCCGAATTACATATTTTTTTCATAACTACTCCAAAATAGGTATCCGATGACAGGGCTCGACTAGTAGGAAAATAGTACACTTTGAAAAACATGCGAATTCAAAGTGGCTGCGGCTACAAAATGGCGGATTACATATGTTTTCACAACTACATTAATATGGATATCAAATGACAGGGCTTGACTACTAGGATATTAGTTTACTTTGAAGAAGATGCAAATGCAAGATGGTCGCAGCTACAAAATGGCGGATTATATATTTTTCAAAACTACCTCAATATGGGTATCGAATGATAGGGCTTGACTAGTAGGAAAGTACTACACTTCGAGAAAGATGCAAATTAAAGATGGCTGCAGCTACAAAATGGCGGATTACATATTACAACCTACATAAGTCGAGTTGCTCGTTTAGGGGTATATATTTTTGGTTTTTAATTAATTTGTTGATTTCCATGGCTTCCAACAAATTCATTCTTTCCTTTCATTACAAATGTTTAGGATTTTGAGGTTATCTTTACTGATCGTGAGTTTAGATTCTTGAAGATGTTCATACATTGTAGAATTTTCAGACGTATTCACGTGTTTGAAGTTGGCACTCTGGTTCGTTTAACTACCTGTCCTTCCAAGTTACCTAAAAACTCCCGACATAACCGAGTTTTCAAATTTCACATGTTAGTTTTATACGTAATAATGGGGTTGAACCCGAAACCGGTCGTATAAATAAAAATAACTAGTGGTAAATATCCTGAGGTGGGTCAAATGGCTTTTCAGGAGTGAAGGTAATCGCACTGCCAACTCTTTAGCCAAGGAAGAGGCTGGACTAAGAATTTTAGGACCCATTGACACCTACGGCCTGATGACTTCGTCAATTGCGAAACTAGCCAAACGTCACACCCATGCTCAATCCCTAAAGAGATGGGATGGAATCAAAAGAAACAATCTTGCGAAACAATCAAACAATCTGGGCGACCCTGGAAGCTGGCGCCGAAGAAACATCTGGCGATGACCAGAAAAAATCTACGCTTAACAGTAGGATTTCTGACTGGCCACTGTCAACTAAGAAAACACCTCCATAATATGGGGCTAGTAGACACCTCTGTGCAGATATGTGAAGAGGAAGATGAAACTATCAGGCATGTCCTATGCGAGTGTCCGGAGTTATCGTCAATAAGAGAGTGTGTGTTCGGCGAGTCTTGGCCTACACCTACCGATATAAAGGAGATGTCTACCAGTGACCTGTTCACTTTCCTGGAAAGTACAGAATGGTCGATGACCTAGAAGGACAACTCCCCCCTCTCTACTCTACAGATACAGATGAAAACTCACGATACAACCGAGTTTTCAAATTTCCCATGTATGTTTTATACTTGATAATGGGCTTAAACCCGAAACCGGTCGCATAAATAAAATTAACTAGTGGTAATGAGACAAAAGTATTTTTATTCATTTCAATAAAGTGATCATGAATTACCACAAAATAAATAAGTCATCAATACTTATTCGTTAATTAAATGATATAGATAAAATACTTTATCTAATTTCCACTCACTTAATGTGATGATATTAATACGACCAAGGTTTCGGTTTTAACACCATTCTCAAGTATCTTAAGTATCTCAAGTGTTAAGATACTTGAGAATGGTGTAAAAACCGAAACTTTGGTTGTATTAATATCAATACATTGAGTAAGTGGAAATTAGACAAAGTATTTTATCTATATCATTTAATTGAAGATGAATTTCCACAAAATAAATAAGTCATCAATATCACAAACTTATTCGTTACTTGATTGAAATTATTAACGCTGTTATTCGTAATAACTAAAGATTTCCACTGTATGAATTCTATTCAAGATGTGTTTCGCTACAAAGTAGCTCCTTAGTTGAACTGCTTTTTTCAACTATTTTTCAGTGCATTTTATGAAAATTATAGAACTGATTGAGAAAAACAGAATTCGGGATAGTAGGCCTTGGTCGAATGGAACTCGAAGTACCTAAGGTTCCATTTCTATGTTTATTGAAAAAATTTAGAAAATATACTGAAAAAAGCTGCTGGTCTGTATTTTTCATAACTTCAGCATTCTCACTTCAAAATTTATGACGGCTGATGTTTGCTTGAAAACAACTTGATATAAATTGAGTGAGGTATTATTTTCCGCACAGATTAAATCTTTTGGAAAGAAATGTTTTGAATTTTTTCATATTTCAATGAAAGCAACCAAGCAATTGATTCCGATGTGTAAATCATGCAAATAGTTACTTTCAGACAAACACTGGAAGAAGAAAATCCCTTTCGAAACAACTATTTTAATATAAACATAAATTACACGAAAG